CCCCCCCCCCCCCCTTTTTGTGTGTCTCTTTACTCCACCATGTGAATTGAAGTGTGCAAATGAAACAAATCAAAGAACATAATACAATTTTAAATTAGTTTGTCTCAATCACCGAGATTACATTTAGTTGTTAATCAACTAATCAAGTTCCACTACAAATTCCACTACCTTTCAAAAAAATACAAGTATTTTTTACACAAGTCGCTACTTGCTCAACCTTAGTGTTCTTTGATTTATCTCTTCAAGCAAACTACTCAAGTATTATTTGAATAACAAAACTACTCTAGGTTTCCACACTAAGTATTTTTTTAAGGCTTCAAGCTAAAACACAAAGTTTAAGTTAGATAAAATAAAAAAGTATCGTTTTACATACGTATAAAGATGTGATAAACATTTTGAATATAGAAAAAATGAATAGAAAATGAGATTATTCTTTTTTTTTTCTCTAAGCTTGTCCATGCCTCTTATGTATGCAACATTGGAAGATGATCGTCTCAAATCCTTCAGTTTTCCTTTGTAGGCTTGCTTCCTTATGTGAAGATGTGTTCGTTAGTGCATTTATTACATTTCACCAAATTGTCATATATTATCTAATCATGATGCTACTTATCAACTTATGGGTACAAAAGGTAATGAGTTGTAACATGCATAAGTCCAAAAATGACTTTTGACTAACTTTAGATACTTTAAGGAATTTTCTTGTTCTTTCTAAAACAAAAAGGAAACCTCGTTCTTTTCCATTCATTTCAAGTACTAAAAAAACTTTTATTCTTTTGATCTGCTAAGATATATGTTAAAAATTGATGATATCAGACATAATAAATAATGCAATTAATGCATTTGTTTGTGACAAACAATATGCTTAGTTTGGAAGGCTCGACATGCACATGCCTTCATATGATACGTTATTCAATAATCTGTTATTATCTTATAACAGTCTCTTATACTTTACAAAAACGCTTACATTTACTAACATTAAAATATAACTTTTGAAGAGATCTAATTCATCCATTGAACTAGCAAGTAAAATATAAAATTTTAAGTTAAAATTTTATATTGTAATATAAAATATTTTTATTTAATTTATTATATACAACCAAAGGTGTCAGGTAGTAGAGTAGGTATAATACTACGCATACTTGCCCCAATTTCCATTAAATTTTGTGGGTAAGTTTCCAGCTCGCCATCTCTATTATGCAAGTTTTTACCCTCTCAATTAATGGAGTTTTGTGAGTACCCTTAGGTTTGGATATGTTTTGCCATCGTTATCCATTAGAACATTGGATTTACTGGTTCCACAGATAAAAGTCTTAGTTGCTTGGATTTTGTAAGTTGTCTTTTCTAGAAATTGAATTCTACTTCGATTTCTGGATAAGAACAACACGTACATGTGTATAACAACAGCCTTCATCAATATAAAGCTGGAAAAAGACGTTAATATAGGTGAAATAATAACTCAACTTTTTTATTTAATTTAAAGGTCTATGAAAGGAATTGATATATCCCAATTTAATACATTTTGGCAGAAAGAAATCCCTATGGTCCCAACGAAAAAACAGTTTCTTGCAATAATATGATCCGAGGTTCAAAATAAAAGTCACAGGGAAGATGCTAGTCTATCAGCCATAATATGCATTTCAAAAATTGTTAAATTTTTTTCCTGTTTTAAAACTCGATGCATGCTGAAAATACCTTAAACGAAAGGAAGTACGGTCAAGCAAAACTGAGCATGCGTTTTGCAGAATCTAGTGTGTTACATAGTAGCATAGCAACGGTCATGGGCCCAACCCCGCCAGGCACAGGAGTTATAACGGATGACACATTCATAGCCTCTTCAAAGCATACGTCACCCACGAGACGATAACCATCCTGAAAGCCAGGATCCTGCAACATTTTATTCTTGTACTTGGTTAGTCAATTTGGAGCAAGCATTGAGCAAATTATGAAACGCTTGCAATCTGCAACTTACCTCAACTGGAGTTGTACCAACGTCAATAACAGTTGCACCGGGTTTTATCCAGTTTCCACGGACCAAATTAGGCACTCCAGCAGCTGAAACTACAATATCAGCATCTGAGGTGATCTGTTCAGGGTTTTCTGTGAAGGCATGTACGACAGTGACTGTTGCATGGTGTCTCTGCATGCCGTGCCAACATGTAAAACTATATTCCATATTCATGAAAGTGTTGATGCTTTTAATTGAAATGCATGTTTTACCTGCAATAACAAGGATGTTGGCAAACCAACGACATTACTTCTTCCAATCACTACGGCTTTCTTCCCCATGATCTTGACTCCTGATCTAATCAATAACTCAATACAGCCCTTTGGAGTACAAGGAGTAAACAGTGGCTCCCTTCCTCTTATGGCAAGATTCCCCATATTGAGGGGATGAAAACCATCCACATCTTTCTCCAGAGATACACAATCCAAAACTTTTTCCTCATCTAGATGCTGTCCCAAACATTTTACAACAAGTCAATTACACTAAAACAGCTAATTTGAACGAGAGCTAATCTTCAATTGTTTTAATTGTTTTCTATGACTGTACACAGCTTCCATGTAAACAGCTAGTTAAAACGACAACAAAAGAATATATTTCATCTGCGAACGACTCCTCGAAACAACAAATTTGCTATCAATAGCATGAACTTTGTTTACACCAACTAGTGATATGAACCCAGAGGGATGGATTCGTTTTACGGATCTATCTAGGTTGGAAAGCTCATAATTAAGAAATTAAAAGAAAAAAATATGGATTGAGGTAAGAAATGGAAGAACAACGCCACAATCCTTAAAGATTGATAAGTTGAGGAAGATTCGCCACTTTGAATTAGGAAATTCAAGGATAAGAATCAAAAGTAGTTCCTAAGAACCTAGAGAGAGAAAATCCTCTCAATTGGAAAAATATCCAAATTCTGAATAATTCATTTTCTCCCCAAACTTTTACAAATGGTTCCTATTTATAAGCTTAGATGGGCAAGATGACATAAATTCCCACTAACACTTAATATTGACTCTTCACTAGCCCACTAACTAAGCAATAAATTCCCACTAGCATTTATTTCCCCTTAGCAACCTAAAAGGCAAGGCAACCTATCATATTTATTTAATAAAATAAAATAAAACGAAAATTACATTAAAAATAAGATAATGAACTTATTAATTATTCAGTCCCAAACTACTTAAATTCCTAGTCCATTATTGCTTCTTCTTGATTCACATCATACCCTCCTTCTTTGAGAAGATTCGTCCCGAATCTTTAGACTTTATTTATTTGCCCAAGCCATCACCATCTATGCCCACCTTCCTTTTTGCCTCACCCTTGAAGGACATCCATCCCCTAAGGTCACTATTTTGGCCTTGTCAAGGAGCTCCTCTTCACCATTGACGTTATTTAATTAGGGAGCTAGACATATTTTTGGTGGTGTTTGGACCTATTTTTGG